GTATGTCACGTTTCAGGCTTCCTTTTCCCTTTCCCTCTTTTTTTTTCTTTTAAATAGGATTCTCATCCCCCCAACTACCTCCCACAGCTCATAAGATATCTTCTTTAACTTTCTGTTAACAGAAAACATGTCCTCAAGAAAAGAACAAGAGGTAAACAAAAAATTTAATAGAATTTCATGCACTGCAAGGCTAGGGGGTAGGAGTAATTTAGCTCATAGCATATCTGAGTTTAAGGGCTGCTTAGAAATTGCAAGTCAATGTTTCTTTGTTGTTTTTAGTTGCATAAGCATTGTGATAATGTTATGACTTGGAGGAAAATTTGAGGAAGTAAAAATGCCAACTACTAATGCTAGTGATGAAAATAAAAAGAAAAAATGACATCTAAGAAAATAAAGGTTCTTAGCCAGAAAATAGCAATTTGGGACAATAGCAGTGGCACTGATTATTGAAATAAATTTATGCTACTACAAGGACATTTCTTGAGGTACATTTCATGGAACAAAGTCACAAAATAATTGGCAGGAGGAAAAAGATTTGGAAAACATTACCAATCATAGCTAGCCTTTTGAGATTTACTATTCATAATTAACATATTAAAAGCTCTCTGACATCTTCCAGTAAAGAAACCTGTTTAACATTATTTAACCCAATGTTACCCAAATACAGTTGACCTTAGAGACCTTTTCTCATGTAACACCTATTGAAAACATCTCACAGAACTGTGTTCTTTACAACTCTCTCTGGGGAATGCTGTCCGAAAATAAAAATGCAATAAATACGATGTAAAATTTGTTCAGTGACAGAAGGTATTTTTAATAACTTCACAGATTACTTCAATTCTTTATCAATGAAAAATTTTGGCCGTTTTTTATACTTTATGAAAATCATAAGCCACAACAGTATTCATGGATTTGCAGATTCAACACTATCTCAGACTGCATTTCCTGCAAATAACAAATCTACATTTTTGTGCAATGAGTGGGCATAAATCTTTCTTTAAGTAGGAATGAACTCTTTTTTGAATTTTACAAGCTAGCAAGCTACATCTGTCCTCAGTTCTCTCAATTTAAAAAAGTAAATAGTAATAACTACTGGGTTCTTCACTTTTGATGACACTGAGAAAAGAAATCAGTTTCGCTCCTCAATTTAGAGCCATTACCTGTACTAATGATGTCTTCTGGAAGCTCATCTCCACAGTATCTGAAAGGAAAGTTTTAAAAAACAGAGGTCACCTGAATGAATATTATACAGCTATTCCAAGTAGCTCCTACTGATAAAGTGCTTTATTTCCCCTAAGTAATGGCTCATGTTCTAGCCTTTTATGATATTTCATTTTATTCTGCTTTCAACTTGAATTAGTAAGGGAGAAGAGGTGTTAAAACATTGTTTGAAATAACTTCACAGTATTAATGAGATTCTTAAAACAGGATATGTGGCATTTCTACTTTGTGTATCTACAATACTATTTGTGTAGTAGACAATTTGAATCTATTTGGAAAAATTAAAAATTTGTTTCTGATTAATCTCATAAAGTTTTCTTCACAGTTTAAGGATGTATGGTTGTATGGGTGTATGGTTGGTGGTATTAATATTTTGAATTCTAAAGTAGGCTGATTGAAATGTGGAAAAATTATATTTGACCTTGTAGATAAAATAGGGTTTGATTTTTATTGGAATCATGTCTTGAAAGGGACTCACTTGCATATTATATAAAAGGGAAAGGTGTTTTTTTGGTAAATTTCTTAAAATGTTATTTATTCCAAAATGTAATTTATTTAGAATAAGATGTAATTTATTCTAAAGGTAAATCACAAAATATAAATCCAATAAATAACAAACAGCATGTTAAAAACCTTTAAAAATAATTTATGATTTTATCTAGGGCTGTAATTGATTTCTGAAACTAGGTTTAGAATGAAAACATCTTCTTAATTCCCAGGGTAGGAGGTTCAATCTTTCAAAAACTACTTTGTTCTTAATTCCTCCAAGCCACCTTATGTCTTCTTCAAACTAGCTTTAAAACTGTTTTGTATTTTTTTTCTATAGCAGTAGTTTCAGCCAAAGAACAAACCAAAACAAAGCAAGAAACACTTTCTCTCCAAAAATTGTTGTTCATTTATCCAAGAAATGCCTTTTTTTGTATTTAATTACAATTTCAAAGTCAACATAAAAAACTATTGAGTCTGTCATTTTTCATTGTTCCCACTACCGTATTCCTTCATTACATTGCTGTGATGGATAATAGAGCATTGATAACTGATAGTCTATGTAACGAGTACTAGTCTAAAATACATATTATCAAGTGGGGACCTGATATATAAAACACCTAATTGTATACACTCTTTAATTTGCAACACTTTGTAAGGCACTCAAAATTTAAACTATATTAAAGATTTAGGGTGGGAATACAAAAATATTGTGTCCCAGCGTGTTGAAAAACCAAGAGAGAAATATTGAGGAAAAGAAAGAAAGCTATATTTAAGAAGATATTTATTGTAGGTTTTTTTTTATGGCAAAGAAAGCTATTTCTAAGAAGATATTCATTGTAGGTTTAACTAAATTGTATGAGAGAAGGAGCTATATTTTGTTTATTTACCTTATATCTTAGCACAATGCTTTGTACACAGGAAAAAGGCAACAGTTACTGAATTTGTAATTATTTTTAGGAGGTTGACAGAAATTAGAACACTTAAAAACCACAACAAATTTCTCATCTTATATATCTTTCTTCCTCCCACTATTGATAAATCTTGAAATCTTTACAAATAGACTGTTTAACTCATTGTTATAACAATAATCAAAAGGCAGCTATCACTATTTTAATAATAAGTAGCAGTTGACTATGGTTTAACATGCTAAGAAAAATCATTGTTAAAAAAGGATATGGTGTTGCAGGAGAGTAGAAATATCAAACAAAATAGCCAATGTTTCTTTAACTTCCTATATGAGAAAACAATATGTACCTTCCCACAAAGCCATGGATATCATCATAACTGTCAAATATTTCAACATAGTCGGCCAAGCAAGCTGGGTCATCTTCAAGGTCAAACTCCAAGAAACTCAAGTGAACACGTTGACCGTACTTGAGTCTAATGTGCCAGTAACAGATTTGGTTATCTTCATATTCATTTGGGAAACCTGGAGATTTAAAAATTCGCTTTGGATCTGTGAAGATACCACCACATTCCTTTGCTAAAATAGAAAAAAAAAAGATAAGAAAGCATTAGAAAAAAATATTCCTACATTAAAATGATATTCACATCTTAGTGTTTACCTACTTATTACTTTTTATAAAATAGTAAAGAAATGGCTTAATATACAGCATCTATACATATAATGTATACTTATAGCTAAAGAATAAATGTATCTTTTCATCAATAGTTGCTCAATTCTGTAAACTAAACACACATTTGTGAACTTTTTAAAGTAAAATAGCAAGAAAAATAGTAATTTTATTAATTGTGCTCCTGGTTACATTTTTTTGCTTCTTTTTATCTTTCAAGCTTAGAATGCACAAGTCTAATGTGTACACTTCCATGTTTTTTTAACAAATACATACGCATGCTACTAACAGCCCACTCAAGACAGCAGGAAGTTTTTTGTCCTGTGGTGTCACCACTGTGTCTTTAGGGACTTGAATACTTAGAACAATGAGTCTAGTAAATTCTTTTTGGAAAATCATAGAATTTCAGGATTGCAAGAGACCGTGAAGGTCACTCTAATCCAGTTGAAAGGAATGATTTATAATCATCTCTTTTTATTGGTTTTAAACTAAAACCTTAACCCTAATATTTGAGGATTTGGTCAAGATATTCACATTTGGCTTTTTTGGTCATTTTTTATTTTATATATTTATGTTGTGTCATATAACCTGATATTACCTATCATATAACCTGCTATAACCTGTCATGTAACCTCTGCCAGAAGCAGTGATTTGAAGTATGACCCAGAGGGAAAGTTATGAAGTGGCCTTAGTTAATTTAATTTAATTTTATTATTATTATTTTTAGCTGAGCCATCCTGTCACCTGTTGGCAGCTCAGCGGCCGCTCAGCTCGGGCCAGGAATCAAACAGGTGACCCTGTTGCTCAGAGCTCGCACTCTTGAGCGAGCTCTTAACCAACTGAGCCACTTGGCCGCCCCAACCCTGGTTGATTTTAATTCCATATCAAGTAAGTGTCTAGTGTCTTGAAAAAAAAAATACAACCAGGAAACTCAAAATTAATCTGAGTGGTGGTGCTGCTGATGGGGAGCATTTGAAGATATTTTTCATCTAATCGATTAGAGCTTTTTCCAAGAATATTTTTCTTTAGCATAACTATTTTTAAACATTTTGTTAGAATCCATAATGTCATAGAAATTAAGGAAGCTTATCTCCCTCCAAGGCAGAACAACTTCTTAGAAAAGGTACGGAGTGACAAAAGGTCAGGATCTAGTTCGAGCTCTGTGACCATGTGAAAATACTTCAGTATTTTCATTGGTAAAATAAATATAATCATGCTTCTATTACTTCTCCCACAGGATTATTCTGAGGACAAAATATAGAAGATAACTTAAGGACATTATACAAAATGTAAGCTATTCTTATTGTTATTAAAATTTATACAATACATAGTTTAAATGTGTACATAAGTATGTACGGTGTCAGCTTTTGGAGTGACTTGTTCTGTCCTAGAACATTCTTTCTTTGTTGTGTGTATCATTAGATTAGGAAAAAATTCAAATATTGAACTATTTTGGTTGTCTAGCTATATTTGTTCAGCTCTATATTTTATGTTAGATATAGTTATTGTCTCATTTCTTGTTTATTCAGAAAATAACAAATTCACAAAGCTGTCTGGATCCTTGAGGACTGTTAATTGGTTAAAAAGTATTCATTTAGGGCCGGCCGAGTGGCGCGATGGTTGAGAGCTCGCTTGGGATGCCAGAGGGCCCCGGTT